AAGGAGTCTGGTGGTGCAACGGTTAAGTGCTCAGCTGCTAGCAGGAAAGGTCAGCTGTTCAAACCCACCAGCTACTCTGCAACAGAAAAGACCTGGCTATCTGCTCCCGTAAAGATTTCAGCCTAGGAAACTGTATGGCAGTTCTACTCTGCCCCATACAGTCAGTATGAGTTGGTATTGACTAGATGGCATGCAACAACAATAGCTCTCTAGAGAAAAATTAGGGTGGCATTACCAAAAGGGAAGAAAGGCCTGGCAATCTGCTTCTTAAAATAATCCAATGAAAACCCTGTGGATTGGACTTCCAGCAACATGGTGCTCTAGACAGAAGCACCACGCCATCCCTCCACAACACAGATCCGAAAAACTAAGCCAAACAGAGAAAACAGCAATCCTGAAACCCTAAAATCAAAAGAAGAGATAAAGAACTCAGCCAAGCACCAAATGCAATAAGAAACTGACAGAGATCAGAGAGCAAGAAGACATACATGAGAGGTCCCCTATCAGCTACAGTAGCATGGATCCACCATCTAGGACTCCTGTCAGAGTCCAGCAAATCAGGGGTACAAGAAAGCAGCTTCACGGAGCTTCCAGCAGGAGACAGAACAACTGGTATACAGCAATATACGCTTTCCCACCCCCCCACCCTTCTTCACCCCCACTCGGCCTCCTCTGCTTCTTGCGGCCACAGTCTCTTGGCTAGGAAGCACCAACTGCTTGGATTCACCCACCCGCACTGGCCAACTCCCTGAGTGCCATTTGTTGGCTGCTGGTGTTGCTTTTATCCGTTTCTTTTGATTTCTTCCTTACTTCTCACCACCTCCCCCTCCTTTCGCTCAAATACCTGGCTGTATGCACCATCTTTGCTTCTTCCTGAGGGGCTATGGAGCTCTGCTGGAGTGTGGAACTGCATCCTGGTCCATGCTGCCATGCTGGTGGGCTCCCGGGGCTTTTTGTTTGTTTGATTGATTGGTTTCTTTTTCTTTTCTCAAGTTGGGAGCCCGTTCTGGCCAGGCAGTGCTGTGAGGCTCGGAAGTACCCCCTCAGCTTGTGCAGACGTACAGAGGGATCCCTGAGAGCATTTCTTTTTTCGTGTTTTTTTTTTCTTCTTCTTATTTTGGGGGTTTTTCTTGTTCTTTTTTTTTAAATTTGTTTTCTTTTCCCTTTTTGTCTTTCTTCATTATTCAGTTTCTCATCTCTCTATACCTTCCTTCTCTTCCTGTACCCTGAATACCTGACACTGAATACCGCTACACCTCCTAGCCAGGCTGTACTTCAACACCTGGGAACAACTTCCCCAGACCTCGTAGCCCCACTGTTGGGATCCCTGGGGGCTTTGCTGTTCTTTTTTTATTTATTCATTCCTTTCTTTTTTTTTCTTCTTTTTCCCTTTTTTGTTTTTCTCCGTTTCTTAGTCTCTCATCTCTCCACTCCAATGGCAAGCTGCCCTAGCACTCTTTTTTGTTTGTTTGTATGTTTTTTGCTCCTGTTCCTCTCTCCTGTCTCTCTTCTCTCCCATACCCATCTTAGCTCCACACATCACAATCTCCCCCCTCCATCCTGCCTACCTGCACCGTGCACTTAACATCACACCACCAAGCGGCACAGGCACGGCCTACTGGAACCTGCCCTGCACTGATTACCGACCTGCCCTGGTGGCTTTAGTAAGTGCCACAAACAACCCATCCCAGCAGCTTCTCTTCAGCTAGACCTGCCCTGCTGTACCATCTCTGAGTGACTGACCCTGCCAATTGGAGAAGGAGGTGAAAAGTATCATGCCCACAGACGAGCAAACAACAAAGAACGCTCAGCCCGCCTTCTCAGACATAGCCAAATTAAAAAAAAAAGGACGAAACAAACAAATCTACAATCAATAAATGAGAAAAATAACTACTGAATGTCCCGAAGACAGCAGACAATATCAAAACATTTACAAAAACAGGACAGGATGGTTCCAGTAGGTGTCCAAAATAAAATACCAGATGACTTTCCAGTAGAAGAAAAGGCACTAGAACTACATTCTAGGGAATTCAAATCTCTAATACTCAGAATTATCCAAGAGTTAAAGCAGACAAAAATGAGGAAAAAATAGACAAATTCATGGAAAAGACAGACAAATTCATGGAAAATACAGACAAAAAAAAAATGGAAGAATTCAGGAAAATAATGAAGGAACAAAATCCCAAAGTAAATTCACAACTAGAAATTATACAAAAACAATTAGAAATCCAAAAGATAAACAACAAGATTTCAGAAATAGTGTCATAGAAGGGCTGAGGAGCAGATTTGAAGTGGTGGAAGACAGGATCAGCAGAATTGAAGACAAACACTTGGATACAACTCCGTTTGAGTGAGACTCAGAAAAAAGAACAAAAAAACTGAAGAGACCCTCAGAATTATGTGGGATACAATCAAAAGCAAAAATTTTCGAGTGATTGGAGTTCCAGAACAGGGGGAGAAAACAGAAAACACAGAGAGGATCATTGGAGAACTGCTGACAGAAAACTTCCCTAATATCATGAAAGATGAAAAGCTGACCATCCAAGAAGCTCAACGAACCCCATATAGGATAGACCCCAAAAGAAAATCACCGAAGCATATTATAATCACATTTTCCAAAACCAAAGACAAACAAAGAATCCTGAGAGCGGCTCATGAAAAACAAGAAGTCACATACAGAGGAGAAACAATAAGACTAAACTCAGATTACTCGACAGAAACCATGCCGGCAAGAAGACAGTGGGATGACATATATAAAACCTTGAAAGAAAAAAATTGTCAGCGAATAATAATATATCCTGCAAAACTCTCATTCAAATATGATGGTGAAATTTAGGACATTTCCAGATAAACAGAAATTAAGGGAATATGTAAAAACCAAACCAAATATACAAGAATTATTAAAGGGAGTCCTTCAATCTGAGAACAAACAACTTCAGCTCGTGGGCTGAATCTAGGATGCAGGATCATACCACCAGATACCAATGTAGGAAATAAACTCTCAAGGACTATCCAAAACCAAAAGAAATACAACAGGGAATCAGAGCAGTTAATCTGTCAATGACAACAACATCAGAACCATAAAAGAGGGAATAAACAGTATAGGTATAGAACCTTCTAATGGAGAGGAAGGCAAGGCAATACCAAGTAATAATAGACTGCTTCAAACTTAGATAAAGATAAATTTCACTGTAACCACAAAGAAAGTTAACAAACATACTCATAAAAATAAAGAGGAAAAACAAAGTCTCAGTAAAAACAAAACCTACAAAGATGAAAGAAATGGAAAAAAAATCCACAAACAAAAGGAATTCAGCACAGGAGAGTAAGAAGAACAAAGAAAACAGCACCACAAAAAAAAAGCACTACAAAATGACAGCAATAAACTCACAACGATCAATAATTACCAAAAAGAAACAACATAGATGCCCATCACCAGATGAATGGATAAACAGATTATGGTACATACACACTATGGAGTACTACGTAATGATAAAGAACAGTGATGACTCTGTGAAGCATCTCATAACATGGATGAAACTGGAGGACATTATGCTGAGTGAAATAAGTCAATAGCAAAAAGACAAATACTGTATGAGACCTCTATTGTAAAAACTCATGAAAAAGTTTATACACAAAAAGTAACAATCTTTGTTGGTTATGAGGGATGAGGGGGTGGAGGGGAAATACTAAATAGGCAATAGATAAGTGGCATCTTTGGTGAAGGGTGAGACAGTACACAATAC